GCAACCTAAGTGTCCCTCAACTGACAATTGGATTAAGAAAATGTGGTATATATATACAATGGAATACTACTCAGCCATAAAAAAAGACAAAATCGTCCCATTTGCAACAAGGTGGATGGGCCTGGAGTGTATTATGTTAAGTGAAATAAGCTAGAAAGAGAAAGACAAACACTGTATGATGTCACTCATATGTGGAATATAAACCAACACATGGACAGAGAAAACTGTACTGTGGTTACCAGGGGCAGTGGGGGTCGGCGGTGGGCACAAGGGGTGAAGGGAGTCATATATATGGTGATGGACAAACAAAAATGTACAACCCAAAATTTCACAATGTTAAAAACCATTAAAACATCAATTAAAAAAAGAATCAAGAGGAAATGACTATAAGATACATAAGGAGATATCATTGATAGAAATTAATGACTAATGGGAAGAGGTGCATTAAGGAAACAAAATTTTTAAATGACACCTACAGATTTCCAGTTGTGACGTGTGGGTAAATAGTGCTGTGTTAATTAAGGGAGGTAACACCAAGTCAGGAAGTTTGGGAGAGGAGGAGATACAGAATGGGAGAATATGATCATGATTTTACTTAGAGCTATTTTACATTTGAGGATACCATCCTATATCCAAATAAAGATAATACATGACTTCAGCGCCCAGGAGGAAAATTAGGGCTAAAGAGAAAAATTTGGGAATATTTATGTGCCAGAAAAAGAAAATAAGATGTGGAACCTGAAAGGAAATTGCTCACAATTAAAAAGTTCCAACATATGAATTTCTCCTTCCTATGGATTCAATTAATTGCCAAGTTCTGCACACCATTTCCCTCATCACACTTCGTATTTCTTACATATGGTGATTTTAGCATGTATAGTTGGCCCTCGTTATTCACGGATTCCTTATTTGCAAATTCACCTACCTGCTAAGATTTATTTGTAACCCCAAAATTAAAACGCATGGTGCTTTCATGGTCATTCGCAGACATGTTCACAGCGGTGAAAAACTTGAGTTGCCTGACGCACAGGCTCCCAGCTGAGGTCGAGCAAGGTGACATTCTGCCTTGTTTCAGCTCTCATACTCTATGGCAAATGTCTTTTTTGTGGTGTATTTAGTGTCACGTTTTTTGCATTTTTGTGCTTTTTGTTGGTGATTTCAGTGTTACAAATGCCCAAGACATCGTTCTGAAATGCTGTGTAGTCAGTGTCCTATGCACAAGGCTGTCATGTGCTTTACGGAGAAAATACATGTATCAGATAAGCTTCACTCAGGTGTGAGTTATAGGGCTGTTGGCCATGAGCTTAATGTTAATGAATCAACAATATGTATTTTAAAAGATGTCTTTAAACAGAAACACACATAAAACAAGGTTATGTATTGATCAGTTGACAAAAATTATGAACAGAACCTTGCAGGAACCTAACCCTGTATTTCCTCTAGAAGCAATGTTTCAGTATTCACTGCTTGTGGGAACTTTCCAGAACATAACTATCCTAACTAATGGGAATTGACTGTACCTTGGTCTGCAGATTATAAAATTCCTGAAGAATCCTTTATTCATCTTTTTTAAAATTCAATTTATTTAAACCAAAAAAAACCCCAAAAACAGTTCACCTATTTTTGGGTGAATAAAAATCCCTTATGCATCTTGATGCACTATGCAGTGCACTGCCATTGACTGAAATTTTCTAAAAGTATCTATTATTATCAGAGAATATATCTTCTTGTTTTCAAATTTATGCGGCTTTTCCAACAGACAGTACCTAATAAACACATCTGTATTGGAAAGGGAGTTCAGAGATGGAGTGGGTCAAAGGCTAGATCCTCCAGGCAAGGAGGTTTGCTTTTAAGAATAACAAATTTAAAAATACTTTAAAGCAAAAGACAACCATAAATGTAAAAAAAGTGCTTTTTAATTTTTAACCAAAATGATCATTAAGTTGATGTAATAAGCTTTTTTTCCCTGGAGTATTCATAATAATGTTGGTCAATATGCCTTAAGCAACATGATTATTTAATAAAAGTTAAGACGGAGGGCAGTTGTAATTTGTGTGAAATTTACAACTAGAGTTTAAAGTTCTTTAAAACTTTTATAAAATTATAAATTGATAACAATTCTCCAAATTGGAAGTCAGATAACTTAATTTTAACACAATTTAAAATTAAAGTACAATTGTTTACACAACAATGAATAAGGACAAGCTTCCAAGTCACATACCACACTGAAAATTCAAAAATAAACAGAAGAAATGTAAACAGTTATAAAATATCAACATTTATAAACGTTGCTTAGAACAAGGCTATGCGAAATATGGTCTATGAACTATCTGTGATCCATCCAACATGAAAGAAAGAGCTTGTGCCGGAATGAAAATGAATGATGTCACTCATTAGCTGATTTTTTTTATAACAAGATTTTCTTGATAAAGGAAGCAAGGTGTTGACTTATATTCTGACCCAGGCACCTCATCTCATTACAGACTGGAGAACAGGTACTGCTTACTTCTTTCAAGTGCCATTATAATTTTACTCAGAGTTAGGTTAACTTTATCGTGGGGGGGAACAGTTTAAATGACAATTGTAATTGTCATCTCTAACTCATCTATTTTTTAATCCCATCTATCCAAGGATCCTATCCAGAAGGCAAATTAAACTTTATAATCTCATCAGAATTTAACATTAACCCTCAGATGTGTTGAAGTGTTACTGACATCTATCCACCCCAGAGGGGCTCTCCAGATTCCCAGTTAGTGAGATACATCATCTGCTTTTGATAGACATTTGTTTTGAATCTTGGCAGAAAAACAGTACGAATTGAGTCACTTGTTAATACATTCTCTCTAAAAACTGGCTTAATTTATTTTCACACTTCATTCAGTGAAAACATTTAAATTCACCTTTATGAAAAAACTGAATTTTTAAACCGTTTGTGCAACCACTAGCTGCTTTTTTACAACAAAAATTGTTAGGAAATAAGGTATGGAAATTTACAACTCTGTGTATTCTACTAAGGGGAAGCATACAAAACTATTTTAAGATTCCCCAGAGTAAAAGAAAGCTGGTAGAAAATATTTTTTAAGAACCAGCTTATAATTCAAAATTCAAACATTTCTTGATTTTTTTTATTTTTTAGCTTGGCATAATTCCTCTAGAAATTTAAAAGTATAATAAAGTCTTTTGTAAAAGTAATCATTTCCTCTTTCTCCAATGACTTACTAAGCTTTACCTGCTTTAGCTTAATACTGAAGGCAAATAAATGGACAATCAACATTTTAGAAAAAACTTCTCAGTTTTAGATATATAAGACGCCAATTTAGCTTCTGCAATGGCTAGTTTACTGAACCAACAAACTACTTCTTAAAGAATTTAAACGTATATTTACATGTCATAAGAAGAGAGCTCCTTTGGCACCTGAGTTGAGCACAACATGACAGAGTAAAGAATCTCTGAGAGCAAGTTGTCTAAAGACTATATTTTATCTATCTATACATATATACACACACCTATACATATACATATACACATATGGACACACACACAAGTAGAAATAACCTTTCTTTTAAGAAATGCTGAAGATATAAAAGGAATTCACCATTTAGCCAAATAAAGTGACCTGATGGTTATTAAGAACAGTTTTAAGTTATTTGGAGTCTAACCAAATTTCAAGAAATTAAAGGTTTGACAGTCATACATAATTTAAAAGGGGGAAAACTTAAGGATTTTTTTTAATCAAAATATCATTTCTTTTGATATAGTAACATGGTCATGAGGTTAAAATTATCTTAACATAATAATATAACAGACTTTTTAACAGTCATCAGGTGGAAAGTCATCAAAGATTACCCAAAAAGGAGTAAATTTCCCCCCTATTAAGACTGAACACAGTCACCAGCAACAGATCAAACATTCTGCTGTCCCTAGACTCTTATCACCTTCTGCTGAGCCCCATCACTTAGTAGGACTTTTACACAAGAATTGTAGAAGAGGGGCCAGCCCCGTGGCATAGCAGGTAAGTGCTGGAGCTCTGCTGCTGGCAGCCAGGGTTCAGAGCGTGCTCTGCTGCTGGCGGCCCAGGTTCGGATCCCGGGTGCGCCCTGACGCACGGCTTGTCAAGCCATGCTGTGGCGGCGTCCCATGTAAAGTGGAGGAAGATGGGCACGGATGTTAGCCCAGGGCCAGTCTCCCTCAGCAAAGGCGGGAGGATTGGCATGGATGTTAGCTCAGGGCTGATCTTCCTCACACACACACAAAAGAACTGTAGAAGAGCTTGATGTCATCACGTTTTATGATCACATCCACCTTGCTACTGCTAACTCTGGCACTGTGTTAAAGTCCTACTGGTGTTGTGATATTTTTTATGCATACTTTTCTAACTGAATGACTGGCTTATATTCTAAGACTTAGAAGATGTCTAAACTCTCTAAGTTGCCTAAGTCTGTCAGCATTTTCTTCTTCACTCAATTAGTAAATATGTTTGGTGGGCTAAAAAAAGAGCACACTCAGTTTTACCTAAGTATCTTCCACTCTAGAAACGCTGGAGGATGAAAATCCTCTACGCTTGTACACCATCTATTCTCCATCTTTCAGATGTTATTAAATCAGAAGTATGTTGAGTGGGCAAAAGACATTCGAGTTAAAGAAATGATGCTGTGCTACTCTTTTCTCTGCTCCAACTTGTATAGAATATCCCTAATCAGGTTTCTAACTCCCTCTCTGCTCTGCTTAAAGGACCTATCTCATATGGCAGAACATATATATGGAAATCTTATGCAGTTTCAAAATATTCGTGATTGAAAAACATTTTCAAATGTAAAACACCTCTTGAGCATCTATAAAACAGTATACATTCTTGCTTAAACTTGACACTGTTACCTTAAACAAAATTTTGTCAATAGAGACATGGTATAGGATTTACCTTAGAGAATCTATTGAATTCAGATGTCTTCATTTTGTTCAGTTTACATCAACTATAATATAACCCAAACCACTGTTCTTCCTGATATGTAAAATATTTTGAAAAATCCATTTGAACTTGAATTCTTTCATTAACATGTACACTCACATGCACAATTTTATTTTTTGTCATATATTTAAATACCTTCTTCTCTGCAGAGTTGACATCTCAGGACAGGAAATAAAATTATACTAGTAACTAGTAATTTAGCATTAAAACACTTTCTCCCAAATTCCTCTATGCAAAAGTGCATTTACAATATAAACACGCCATATGTGAAGCTACAAATCACAATCTCACACGGGAGTGGATTTCAAATTCCAAATTCAGTCCAAATGAGTCAAACAGAAACGTGCTAACAGAGCAAATCTGAGACAAGTTCATGGGGATTGGGCAACGAGTCATCAAAGCGAAACCTTTTGGACACCATGCTGCTATCCTCGGGGATATTCTCTTTGTCTTCACGATCACTACAGGTTCCATTACAAGAGGACTTAGCGATCCTGTCTTCAGAGGACCTTACTGCATGATCCAGACTTTGAGAGGAACTGGAAGTTTCTTCAGGGTGAAACAAGTTTCCAAAGTCCCATTGCTGCAGCCAAGAATGAGAAAGGCAGGTTTCCGCTGTTGGTCTTTCCCTTGGAGAGAAAGACCAAGAGAAAATTGAGAACCAAAAGTCAAGTTGGAAATGTCTGCAGTTTGATATATTATAGACTTATTTTTTATTTATTATGAAATAACACATATTCATAGTACAGAAGGGAATAATAACAGGAAAACTGGAGTACCCAGAGCTTCCTTAACTCTGACATGTGCTGAAAATTCAACTTATCCTGGGGCTTACAGATGAGACTATCTGGTCAAAAAGCTTGTGAACAGGTTAGCATCACAAATAAAAATTAGTAAAATTAAGTCTCTTGGGTTTACAAACCCTTTAAATGAAAATATATGTAAGTAATTTATAATCTCTATTACTATTTTGTGTTCTTAAAAGCAATAACTGCTAAATCTTGAAAACGAAGGCTACTCTTCAAAGATATTTATTCAACATTTTGAGTTTTTAAATTTTGTTTTCTATTATAAAAGTAGTATGGTCAAATATTACAATATTTCAAAAGGAAGAAAAACACCTATCTATACTAGAACTCCAACTTTAATATAACCACCATTACCATTAGAACATGTTTCCTTAGTCTTTGCTTTTATGTTCATTTTTTCTGCATATAAAAAAATTAATGTGCTCACTATAGAAATTTTAGAATGTAAGTAAAAAAATATTTAAGAAAATGAAAACTGCTTATAACCAGAAACAAACAGTATTATTACTATTTCTTTTTTTTCTTTTTAATTTTTTATTGCAGTAACATTGGTTTATAATTTATTACTATTTCTACTAAGTAACCTTTCATGTCTAAAATACAGTCAGTGAGAGTTTGTTTAGTCTTCTAATAAGCCAATAAAATAATTAACAAACCTATGAGGTTTTTTTCTTAAACAGATAAGGAAACTGAGTCCTCGAAGAGATGACGTAATTGTCAGAGATAAAAGACCTGACGAGTAAGTAAATAGGGTTGATCCGGGTAAAGAAAAGGGAGGTCAGCTTTTCTCTTCCTGCTCTGAAGTTGCCAGCAAGCGAGGTAACCTAGAGTCCATAGTTTCAAGATCCTTCTTCAGGAGGCAGTTGAAGAGCATCTGATCCTTCAAGATCTGACAATCAGTAACTTGTACTTGTTATACAACTATAATTATTTAACTACAGATCATTCACAACAAAGGCTTATCATAACCAGCCACGTGTACTTAAACCTATTTTGAATTATCTTAAGGAATTTCAGGGATTAGTAGAAGGTTGAGAGAGAAGTAACCCGAATCTTCTATTCATTCCAAAATTTCCTGCTGTATATTTCATATTCTCTATGTTTGAAGTTCTGGACTTGTTATTTAATGACCTCTCATTCCACCTCTTCCCATTTTACCTGAAACCTGAGAGGACACCTCTAATAATTTTATACTGTTTTAGAATGTATCTCTCTTGATAGACACATATTATTTATTTTGTAACACTATTTAAACAAATTAATGTTATTACTCACTCTGGATTTTTTACCAAAAGGCTCTGGATAAAGTCTGTGGCCAGCTGTGAAACCGATGAAAAAGTTTCTTCTGAATAATCTACATTAACTTGAGAAATATTGAGGTATGTTTCTTGATTATCTTCTCCCACAAATGGGGATGTATGAGTTAACAGCATATATGCTATTATACCAATGTTCCTGAAAAACAAACAAGGGAGAAGAGGAGAACTTAAAATGTGTGTTAATCTTAACACATTTATATAAAGTAAAATTGATACTCAACATATTCCTGTTGTCAAAACTTGTACAGTTTAACTACAAACTTAAATCACTTTTCAAAGTTCCTATATTATTAAAACTAAAACAATTGTGTTATCTCCAAGTTTGCCTCACAGAAAAACAATATGAAGGGAATGCACATGTTATATAATCATAAATAAATTAACTATATCTCTTCAGTCTACCCTCACACAGACGCCTGTTATCAAGGACACAAAGTTGCTCAAAGAGCAGCATTTCCCAAACGGTGTCCAACGACACAGTGATGATCTGTGAGACACACACAGCAAACACAGTGCTGTGCAAACACAGTCTGCAGGTTTGACAAAGCACGAAGTTGAGCAGGCAGACTTTTTTTCATTGCAAAACTTTTCAGAGCCTTAAATATGTTAATGACAAACCCAGTGCTCAGGAACCAGAAAAAGACAATATATACAGTACATGTTTCACCAACTTATTTAGCCACAGGACCCTTTTCCCTTGGCAAAGCCATGATAGTTCCACGGAACACAGGGCATATGTCTACACTCTTCTGCTCGGCCTGTGGAGTCGCCCCCCGCTGCGGTCCCCACTCAAGTGCCCGCAGCAACTCCAGTTCTGCTCCTTCTGATAGTCTCTCTGCGGCAGCCACAAAAACTCACAATACCCTAGAGATATTCTCTTATAAAACCAAACTTTTTACATGGACCTGACCTCATTTTTCTGCTTAACAAATGCCTTCCTAGCTCTTCTAGACCTAGATCAGCTGTCGCCCATCTGGTGTTTGTCTGCGCTTCCTCCATGCTTATTAAATAGCATTTCATCTTTATCGTAGAACATGTAGCAGAGCACAGACCCATTCTTCCCCCAGGAAAGGAATTTTCCTATTTATTTCTGTATCTTTGGCTCAAAGCCAAAGTGTTACTTAAAAGAATGAACAGGTAAATATTTTCCTACGGCATAATAAAAATACTTGAAAAAAATCTTCTCAAGAAAGCCTTATTATTTCCCTTTGGAATCAAAGAACCCTAGAATATATACTACCCAACTTTTAATAAAGGCATTTAGGTAACTAACAAAATCTTACCACATATCTGTTGCTGTCGTAATAGGATCATAGTTCAGGATTTCTGGAGCTGAAAGAAAAAATAAAATTCAAATTCAATATTGACAAATTTAAAAACACGAATATTACTTTATATTAAATTAAAACTGGATTTAATTTTAAAGAATACTAATAGAAGATCAATAGAAATTTAGCAGTATATTAATTATCTTGTGATTGGACATTTAAACATATCTAATGTTGAGCAAATTATATAACCAGATGGTTCAAAAGCAACAATAATATTCTTGGAGTAACAGGTAGCTATATAGTTGTTTTTTCTTTAATCATTAAGATTAATCTCAAGAAAAACAATTATGAAGAAGTAAAATGTTACAAGCTGAATCTTTTAAAATTTTATTTTATTACTCTGTTAGGAATTAGTTTGCATTATTTTATTAGACTGATTTGGGAAATGCTTTAGATTTTCAAGTAGATTAAATACCCCTCTTAAACTATCAAAAATCTAATTTCCTAAGCAATTAATTTCCCACTGTCTCCTCCCCTGTCAAAATTTTTTTAAAAGTGCAAAATAAATTCTCTATAGTTTCTAAACATTACTATAAATTTCAGATTAGTAGAGTCCAGACTAGGATTTATGCTTGAATAATAACTTTCTTGTTTCATAGTATGGTTTCATAATTTTTCCAAAGAGAAACTGTTTCCTAAAGCCTAACACTTTTGTCAACAAAGCCTTTGAGTCATATACATTGGCAGCCTCCGTTGTACCCCCTAAACCTTTTCACATACTTCTGCGGGCTGAGTTATCTATAACTGCAATCATTTATTCTAGGACACCATAGTCCCTATTAGCAGTCAGAAGTTAGTAATTTGCTTTGCTTTTCATTTTGGGAAAGTCAGCTGCCTTGCTGGCAGCACCTGTTCTGTTTAGTTGTATCTTTTCAATGCCCACAGGGGGATATCAACATCAGCAACAACAAAAAAGTGTAAAAACATTATTACTATAAATTACAATATTTTAAATTTATATCCTGCTTCATACAACTTAAACATCTTTCATCTGCATGATCTAATTTGTTGATTTAGTACAATATCCCTAGATTGCCCAATCATAGGTTCTTTTTGGCACCCTTCTTCATCAAAACCCTCCTTTACAACCCTAGGCAAACCTCACATTTCAAAGCAGCAGCAACAAACAGCAAGGAGTCGTGCTAACAATTCCTGCAAAACCGAAGATACGTGTATTGTAAACAGCTGTGGAGCTGAGCCCAGGACAGAAGCAGAAGTGACGTCTACCCAACAGCCAGGCTTCAAAGGCAATAATGGGCCACCTGATTCTGCATTTTCCTCTTTATCCATCTCTCCTACTCCCTAACTTCCCTTTCACCTTTTGCTCTTTATGAACAAACATTAAACTTTTGAGCTTACATGTCCAATGTCCTGTGAATTGTTGTGCACGTCTCAATAATCTCACGTTCACTACAGTTCATTTTAATGTGGCATAACCAATTTCAATGCATTAAAATACCTGAACCAAATATATCCTGGAATTACATGCTCTAAAATATAGTTTTATAGAGGTATCATTTAGTTAATAAATCTCAAAATGGTGTAGAAAATAAAAGGAAATTCTTACCTAAGTATTCTGGCGTTCCCATGATTTCCCGAAGTTCACATGCATTCCCTATTTTTCGAGACATTCCAAAATCCACAATTTTTATGTCCCCAAGAGGGTAGATGCTGCTCAATAATATATTCTGTGGCTAAATAAAGCACAGAGAAATGGTAAGTACTATACAACAATAAAAGAATACTAGTCTTGGATCAGAGGTAAATTAAGTGGAATCTATTGTTAAGCTAGCCAGCCCTGGTGGTCTAGTGCTTAAGACTCGCACTCTCACTGCCTCGGCCCGGGTTCATGTCCCAGTCAGGGAACCATACCACACACCTGTCGGCTGTCACACTGTGGTGGTTGCATGTTGCTGTGATGCTGAAAGCTATGCCACCAGTATTTCAAATACTAGCAGGGTCACCCATGGTGGACAGGTCTCAGTGGAGCTTCCAGACTAAGACACACTAGGAAGAAGTACCTGGCCACCCACTTCTGAAATTGGAGGAAAAAGAAATTCGATGGATACATAGATATACTGACTGATTATGAGATACAGAATATCTCAGTAATAAAGACAAGACTACTTAAATCTGCCCACTATAAAGTCCAAGAAGGCTTTACAGGTAGAGATGATACTTAAGCTGAATCTTGAAGGATAAACAGGAGTTAGCCAGTTAGAAAGGTGCTCTGGGAAATAGTAGGAAAGAAGGCATGAAGGAATAAAAGGCGTACACTTCCAAAAACAGAAAATGGTTCAGTACAGTGTGATATTCTGGGTCTGACTGTTCCCAGGTTGTTGCTTAGATGGTTGGATGCGTGGAAGGTTTCGCCCATTGCCTCCTAGAACCATGTGACAGCTTTACTACTGCAGGCCTGAGGCCCATTACAAAGTTCCCTGCCACTGTCACAACCCATATACATGCCCAGTGCTGCTCCCAAAGTCTGTGAGAAAAATCACAAGTCTTAACTCTGGGAAAATCCCATGCTTGGGTATTATTAAACCACAGAGAGACCATTACAGGAGCGGGGGTCAGGGAATCAGCTCTGTTGTCACCTGCAGGCCTTACGGTATACAAAGCCAGCTTCACATGCCCTCCTGGACTTCAAGCGCTATGCAATGCTACACAATACACTTGGTCTGTCTTTAGCAGGAAAGAGACCTAAGAGGAAGCTGGTGGCGGCATGCTATCCTGATATTTACCATGTTGCTACTTTTCCAACATCTTATCAGTCCAGGACATGGCAGGGCAGCTAGATAATAAATACTGCCCTTCCTCCATAGGGAGGCCCACAGAGATTTTTTTTTTCTTTTGAAAAAGGGGTGAGATAATGAGGGAAAGATGATAAGTCTAGTTTGAGACATGTACATTTTAAAGTGTCTATAGGACATCCAAATGCAGCTAATCTGTACTTGGAAAAAATGATTTGGAATTTGGGAGAGAGGCCTGGCCTAAAGGGAGAGACTTGAGAGTCATCATTATTATCAAAGTGGGAGTGGAGGCCAAAGGATCATGCAGGGAGACTACAGAAACAGAAGAGCCCGAGGTTCAAAAAAAAGAGAAGATTCAGATTTTAAGGTCCCTGGATGGCTGTGGAGGAAGGGAAAGGAGAAGGGATAGTAACATGAGAGGCTGAAGTCGTATTTAGGGCTTGGGAAGTGGCGGAACAGTCTGGCGGGAAGGAGAAAGCCTCAAGAGAGAGAAGAATGAGGACAATGGGAGCTAAGGGGGAGGGCTGGAGGAGGTTCTCTCTGAGACGGCAAGTGGAATTGAGGACTTCAGAGACAGACAGTCTTACAAGGTACGAAGGTCCAGGAAGCGGCTGTGAGAGTGGGATGGAGTGGCATGACTGCAGAAGAACATACAGGAATGATGGTTTTTAAGAGCCCAATGATTAATTTGAGCTGCCCACACATGCAGTCTTCTCCTGTCAATGCACAATCCAGTGCATGCAGCACACAGGTAAACAGCGCACGCAGCGCAGTCTAGACGACCATGATCTGGCTGTCTTTCCCTCCCACACCAGCTTGCAATTGTGCATATGGAGAGCAGAGAAGGAACACATGTTCTATTACTTAAAATCACATTACGTTACCTTTAAATCAAGGTGTACAATGTTATTCTGATGTAGATAATAAACTCCTTCAAGTATTTGTTTAATGAGTCTGATAATGTCATTTTCAGAGACCATCTCAGCCACCTCAGGTAAACACAAGTTGAAAATTTCTCCACCGGCAGCACTGAAATAAAATTCAAATAATAGACACTTGAAAAATTATTCACCTAAAAATAACAACTTTTACATACTGTATGTCTATTAAATAAAAGACACAGCCATCTAAACTTTAGTCTCTCTCTCTATATATACATTTAAGGACTGGGGAGGAGGGGTAGGGGAGGGCTCTTTAAAGAAGAAGGTAAATGACTAAGAATATTTCAAATTCTAGGTGTGAATACTTGAATAATTAATAAACAAAAGTGAATAGCTTTATAATTCAATAATATTGTAGTCTGCATTAACGCTGCAATAAAAATAACAGCTAACATTATGAGCTCGGCTCTGCTCTCTGCCTTCATTTTATTTATGTATACATAGATAAGACTGTCATCAATTTTGACCCTCATGACAACCATGTAAGGTGGGTGGTTATCATCCCCATTTGACAGATGCAGAAACAAGTGTGAAGAGGTTCACCAGCTTGCACAAGGTCACACGGTCACGGGGTCAGATCTGTGCAACACGGGTGAGAATCTGGTTCTTAACCAGTAGGCTGCAATGCAGCTTCACACACAACACTGGGGGCCAGAATCCTACTCTCTTTTTATTAAAGAACCGAAAATCTAAAGAATGTTGATAAAGGCATTGTGAAAAATCCCCAGGTTTAGAATCAAATAATCTAAATTTAAATCCTAAATCGGCTATTTACCAGCAATGTAACTTAGGGTCACTCACTTATTTGAGTTTCCCCATCTGTAAAACAGAGGTATCATTGAACTCAACAAATTTTGATTTTTTTTGAGGACAAAAATCTAAATAAAGTAAGATAAAACTTGTCAGTCAGAACACCATGCAAAAAAAAAATCTAGATGGCTATTCATCAAATTTATAAGGTATATTTGAGAATATCTCAAGTAAAGCATATTCTATGTGATAAAATAGGAACTCACTCACTCACTCTAGAAAACACTATTAGTTTTACTTCTTTGGATCATTGCTGTATCCACAGCATTGAGAACAGTGTATGGCATATAGAAGGTAGACAGTAAGTGTTTGTTGATGAACGAATGATGGAATAGGCAGTCATTCTTTAGAGTGGCTGAAAGTGAAACTCAGAAGTCTCGTGACTGCCAAGAGGAAGAAGCATATCATATGCATTAGGAGCCACGAGAAGAAAAAGTATCAGTGGTGTCGAAAATTTGAGTCCCACATTGAAAGTCCCAGGACTGACCCTTCCCACTGCAGAGGTAACTTCCCAACAAGCATCTGTACCAAGTGTGCCAGTTAGAGGCCACAGGGTTGTGCTGCTCTACACTCTGTTTATGACATTCCAGAGAAAACTGGGGGACAGCTGGTAAGGAATACATGTGAAAGCTCCGATCACACTTTCTTCACACTTCACTGCCCCAACCCCTGAAACTCCCAGAAAATTAATGAGAAATTACCTGTAATATTTGTCTCAAGGTATCAGGGTATGAAAAATTTAGTTTGCTATAAAATTTATAGTAGTGAACTCCAAAGTAAGGTATAGGAAGACAGTATTAGAAATTCACATTCTTCTAAAAAAGAAATAAATTAATCCTTACAAATAGTTCATATATAGACCACCCCCAGTGGTCCCTTGGTCTACATGTCAGATGTGTTCAGTCACAGCCCTGCTCACAGTCCCTGAGGAAAGAGGGACTCCACGGGCCAGGCTGCCAGTGATACCCTCACCCTTTCCCTTTCTGCTTACATTATTTAGTTTTAATGAAACGAATCTCCTCAAAACAGCAAGTGGTCTAAATATATTCCCGCAAAGACATTGCAGATAACATTACTAATGCAATCCTAAGCAAATAAGAAAATGAAGAGATGACACTTTAGATTCTCCTAGAATGGGTTCTTTGCTAGGGAATTTATAAGATGTATCTGATAAGAAATCAGACCAAATAATTTGAAATTATAAGAAAACTGTATAAGATATGGATTTACATCCACTAGTAAGATATGGAAAATACTAGAAAGATCTGAATTCTTCATATATGTGGCAATATAAATTGCTTAGGTGAGAAACCCACTCTTGAGCACTTTATAATTATTTATGTACCAACATTTTACATTACATTCACTAAAGTTAATTCAATAGCTAGAACCTTCCACTAATTCTAAAATTCAAAAAAAAGATAAAACAAACTGAGAAAAAGTATGTAAAGCACTTTGCAGTGCTGGGACATAAGAGATAGGACAACAGGTTGCTCACAGGGGTGCCTGCTGAAATCAAGACTGCCTGGGGTCCATTCTGGCTCTGCCACTAATTAGCTACCTGAAACTGGGACAAAATGTGCCTCTGTTTCTTCTAGTGTAACATAATGATACATAACGAAAAATGATAGCTCCTACTTCAGTGTGCTGCTGTAAGAATTAAGTTAGATAAGCCATGGAAAGTACTGAGTACAGCAGATGTTATAAGGATCAAAGCAGATAATCTGTAAGTACTTATCACAGTGTCTGACACATGGTAAATATTCAATAAATATTAGCTATTATTACAGTGAATTGACAAACATTAATTCCAAATCTAGCCAACTTCAGCCTTTCTGAATCTGGGGGCTTCTTGTTCAACTCTGATTACGAAGGCAATTTAAAAAGTCTTTGCTAAATTAAAACTCATTTTCAGAAACACCATATGATACATACAAAAATGCACACAATATATTCTTAAAAGAAAAAAGAGGGTTACAACAGAGTATGCCCGATAGATCACAATTTTGTTTCTAAAGGTATACATGCACAGACCGAAACATAAGAATAATTTTAAAATACAGAAACATGTCATAAAAGTAACCATAGTTTACACATGATTTCTATTTTCTATATCCTCTAAATTTAACACAATGAACAGGTACTATTTTTATAACCAGGAAAAGTATCCTAAGGGTTTTTTGTTCATTTCAGCAACATGATCAGACAAACACTATGACGGTCAGCCAATCAGACTACCTCTTCCTTGCAGTTTTGCAAGCTGACCAATGTCTTTTTCGTAGCATTTTTGGTGCCATTTTTTCCCACAAAAGAGGGACATAGGTGGAGCTATGGGAAATGGAAAATGAGGAAGAGTTACGAGGAGGGAAAGGAGAGATAACACAAGCAGCAGATTACAGAAGTTAGCAGAAATTGGAAAGTGGAAGAGTAAACGGAGGCAGTGAGCAGCAGCAGACAAGCGGACGCTTTGTTAAAACAAGACACCCAGAGAAGTGACTACAGAGAAGACAAAATCTCTCCACAGTCAGAAAAGCCACCTAGCTTATTGTCATTGCCCTGGAAGGTACGTTCAGGTACTTCTACTCTTTCTCTATTAGAAGAGTGTGCCCCTGAAGGGACATCAATCAACACATTTGGAACTTTGGAGTGCTTGCGCTCATTGGCTGAGGTATTTGTACATGTGTTGTGTGTGTGATAAGAGTACATTAGCACAGTTACACTGTCATGCAAACCTATGAACTATATACTATCTAGATCTCCATCTGCCTTTTACAGCTTTCTGAAGCATGCTTTAAAAATTAGGTAGGGAAGTAGAGAACATCTTTGAGAAAGACTCCCATAGCACAATAAAGTTAACATAGAAAAAATTAATATCAGAATATTTTCCTCTCCAAAATGATGGATTTCCTTGGGTACTAGAGAGCCAAGATTTTTAGTTAAACAAAGTACTATCTCCCTTATCCATAAAATACAAATCCATTCACTTTATTCATATAGCTTTGGAAAGCCATAGTAAAGATTTTTAAATTAAGTATTTATTTCTAGTGATCAAAATGAAGTCGTTTTAAATTTTTTATATTAAGGGTCTCTTTTAAAATTATATTCCTATGCTAATGAGGGGAAACATAACCCATGGAATTTTAGAATGGAAAGACACTAGTCAGAGTATTTCCTGCCTCTAAACTAGAACACATGAAGTGAATACCAGTCTCCCTTTGTGGAAGATGGTTTTAAGAATCAAATGAGAACACAGATGAAGTGCTTAGCATAGTGCCTGCCATACAGTAAATGCCCAACATGTATCATTGTTGAAATTGTTATGATTACATTAAAATGTACTGTTTGGTGATTAGATTGAGGTCATTCTAGAAGGTGAGGCTTTCTACTTTTCATGTTTTGCTACGGTCCTGTCACTTCCTACTGGGCTCATAATATTTACTTAAAGATATTCTGCACACAACATAAGCTGGTAATTTCTTGACAAAAAGAAAATGTTATTTCTCTCCCATACAATCTCACCGAGTTGTCTCTGGTAAATATAAGCAACTTCTCCTACTGAACCTTACTATTTGTAGGACAAAGTTCTTGTTCCATGTTCTCCAAAGGTTACTAAGTATTCCTCATAATCAATTTTAGTTAGCTCAAACTCAGCATTAAAAAATTAATGTGTTCAATTAGATAATACCTTCTTTCCAGAAGTTTAAAAAAAAAGCTTTATACATACTTTATTTAATTCTCCAAATACAGTTTTAAAACACTTGTTATAGAAAAGTCATTGCCTCCTGGAGAGTGGGGATGGGATGACCCACCTATCCTCAAATTTTCCCCCCAATTTATAAAGAGATCTAATACTACTGTCCAGAAAGATAGTATTTATATTACTTATCAAATAATCTAAGAAAGGGCTAAAAAAGTCATTTAGACTTTATAACCAGTTACAAAATACTTTCCTGTGGGCTGAGTATTAAGATAAAAATAAAAGACTTAGTAATTATTAAAAAATGACAAGCTGATTGCAAGAATTTAAGTTTAATTCACAAAAGTAAACAACTTAATTTGGTTAAAAAAACAGGTTTAGGTTAAGTAGAGTCAAAACAAAACACAAAAGCAAAAACAAAATAGAGCTATCGGAACCCACAGCTGTAACAGTTTCAAAATAAAGTTTTAGTTAGATTCATGTAATCAGCCAGTATAACAATTCAAAAAAGTGCCTTTTTAAAGTGATTATGTACTATCCACTAAGGAGAAATTTGACAATATCTAATACGACTACACATGCATTTACTCTTTGACCCAGCAATCACACTTCTAGAAATTTACCCTAAAACCACACCTCCACAAACAGTGCCCACTCACAGGAGATCGACTGAATACAGCATGGTACAACCACACAGTGGAGTACTAGGCAGCCATTTAAAAAAGAGCAATAGTAATAGTAGGAAGAAAGATGCCTATGAACTAATATAGAATGATTTCCAGGATATAACATTAAGTGAAAAAAAAGCACGGTGCAAAAGAGAAAGAAAGGGTAATGATGCAGGTTAGCCACTAAAAAAGAATTACTATATTTATAATGCATTTTTTCTACAACAAACATTTATTCTCTCTTTAGTTTATTATAAAATAGATGTATAAAATACTATCAAAACCTAAAGCACGCTAAACATAAATCTAGCTGATCTCCAATTGTTGCAGACGTTGGAATACATATTTCACATACTTATAATAAATGTGTCAGACTGTCATGCAACAAAGGCATTATTTTAGGGTCACATGTCAATATATCGGTTAACAAACCAGTTAGCTTAACCACGCTCTAGGCCCACCTGACGAACAGTTGAATATTTGGGTGTTTTCAACTTTTTACTGACTTTTGGGAAGACAGAGATTTTACTTCGTCTTGCTACAATTCCTAAGATAGTCTTCTGCACATCACACATACTAAATAAATATGTTTCATACATACTAAATAAATGTGTTTCTTTAACAATGTGCTAGGCACACCTTCACACAAGTTTATCTTTCTATTTTCCTTGGGTCATTTCCTTGGATGTGTTTTTCAAACAGATGGGCAAAATATATAAATGATTTCAATTCTATTTGCCCATCAGATTGTTTTGCAGAAAAAATCATCAATTTTCTCTGCCATTAGCAATGAAAGTATACTCATCTCACCACATTCCCCAAACACTGTGTTGTCACTTATTTATTTTGTGCTGTTTAATTAGCTTTTGTGTATGTGTGTGAGGCTGTACACTTAGCCTTGTGAAAATATTTGAATATAAACTATTTCTTTCTAATATTTTATCAACAAGAATCTTTACAAGTTCTTGTCATACTTTTATCATTCTTGTTCTTGACATTTCAAGTAATCTTAACCCACCAATTAAAATAGGTACTATAAATTTATTTAGAATTAAAGTGTATACTCACTATTCCAATATCAAAATGATTTCACTTGCATTTTCATAGACTTCATGAAGATTGATCACGTGAGGACAGGACTTGGCCAACTCAAGCACGGCAATCTCATGCAGGATCTCTGCGCGACAGTCCTGCCCTCTTCTTCTCTTTTTTAGAAATTTTGCAGCATACTCTTGGCCAGTAGATTTTGATATACACTGTCTAACCACAGCAAATTTTCCTCTGGGGGAAAAAAATGAGAACAACCAATTTTAATTTTTCCAGAAAAAACGATATTAGTATAATACAGATACTGTTATCCCTCCAACTTAAAGTCCATCCTTTCAAACAATCATGCCATTAGGAATTCATCTTTATTCTCTTAACTGAATCAAATACTGCACGTACTTTTATAAAACTTATAGTACTATCACTTAATGAAAATGACAAATGTAATAACAGGATAAGAGAATTCTATTTGTTCTTCACTATTAATATAATACATTATCATTGTAGGAGGAGATCCCATTTGCATACCACCTCCACGGCGTACTCTTGATACAAATTACTGTGTTTAAGTATCACAACAATCCTATGTAGTACATGCTATTCCGTTTTGCAGACCCCAGAGAGGATATACATCTTGTTCTATTTCCAAAGACCATACCCTTAAGAGGGTATCACATTAACTCTCCAATCAAAATATCTGTCCTTCAAATACCAAAAATTAAAATGAATGCAAAAATCAGTATTTGACATTTAGTTTTATTAGTGTAATCAACTTGCCTTGCAACACTACTTTTAACCAGCTTTGCAGCTTTCTATCACAATTTGTCAGTTGTTGTACCAGTAAAGCTCAGCACTGCTCAGTAGTCTGTGAAGCCGGTAACACGTATCAAAGGCGTGTGTGGCCTCTGGAGAGCATCCACAGATGCTTTACCATCACCTAAGAAAGGTTATCAACAGCCTACGTACAAACACACCCATTTTGGTCATGTTTATCATTTTAGGAGTATGTTGTTAGCTCTCTACAATAGAAGTGCTCAGCATCTCAGCCAAAATTTTAAAAGACACTGGCAAAAGTGTGTATTCTAAGCCTATAGTCACCCAAAATCTAGTTTCCCAAAGAACTAAAGTTATTTTGAGTTAGACTATTTTAAGCAACTAATAAAAGCTATTGATTTCCTACCCCCAAAAATGTACACATGATCTTAAATACAAAGTTTTACATACAATTCCACAGGGTTTTCAAATTTCAACGCCCATCCATAAATCTTCTAAGCCTGAGTCCAGGGGATCCAAAATTAAGAACCTCTATCCTTCGGCTCTAATTACTCTCAGGATACTAACAAATCAGATATAAATAAAGGATCTTCAGAGAGTTAAGTTTTGTTCCACATCTCCTCTTGCCCCAATTCTCCTTAGAATATACTTCTAACAGCGCATCAGGGGCTTAGCAAGGAAAACTATTTTTAATACATTTGGAGTTTGGAGTGAGGGTAGGGTAGGGGTACGGGTGGGGGACAAGATAAATCGCTTGATTGTATTTTACTTGTTATTCTCAAGGACCAGGATGACAAAGATTTCCCTACTCTTTATTTCCCAAATTTCCTCCAAATTGGTGCCAATGAAAAGCACTGGAAACCAAGCTGAGAAAGTATAGCTACTAAGGCCAAAAAAAAAGTGACCAAGCTATAATTTGACTCTTCTACATTTATCAAAATATACATCAACGCAACAAATTTGCATGCACAAACTTGATTCTTTGAAAAAAACTTTTCATTTATGATTTGAGGATGTTTAATTTTAACTATAAGATATTTTCTCACTGTATGCAAAAGGAATACAAATGGATGCATTCAATGAGCATACAAACAAGTCAATCATTCCCTTAACTTTATATTCAAACCCCCCGTGTCTTACAGAGTTTATACTGGATAAACTGAGTCAGACTAAGATTAAATGACTCATGAAAGGTCCCATATGGAACTGGAGTTCCAAGAATTAAATTGTGGAATGTGCATTCCTAGCTTTCTGTTCTAAACACTACAAAACAATTCCTCCCCTTAAGACAGTTTTTTTTTAAGAAGTGCAACTCACTCACTTCTGCCAATTCTTAGATTTAGAAGCAAAAATCTGTCTAGAACAGAAAGCAAGTTTTAAGTTTTATGAAGAAATTCACCTTGCAAAACTTAGGAAACAGAAACCAGTTAGCCAAGAAAATTGTCCATCTGAAAAAATATACAGTTTATAGCACCAATTGTGACAATTTAGTTCTGCTGTAATTTTATGATTATATCTACAAGCCAGAACTTTCTCACAAACAAAGACAAAATTAAATAATAAGACTTCTCATCTAATTGTTTCAGGTATTCTCAAGAGGCTTTCTAAAACAAGTCTAGTACTCATTAACCCAAGGCAAAGGTGACCATGACATCAGTGATAATGCATCTGTCAATGTTCACCACTAAGTCAAAGCCCCATGAGGCCAGAGACCTTGTGTGCACTAATTCCTTCAGTAACTATAAAATCTCCACTTTGCTAACCAGCACATAATAGGAACTGAAATGTCTGTTGAATGAATGTAAGAGATATGCACCTACATTGTGCTACTTTGTATCCTGTACTTAAAGCATTTATATTTTTTAAAGCTTATTTGAGATTCCAATACAATTTTATATATATATTCATTTATATACTGTTAAATAAGGTAAATATTTTTACCATAATTATCAGATGACTTAGGGAAAAAAAAAGTATTTGTTTTCTATTCTCAACTGCTAATTGTGGTTTAGATGTCCAAAAATAATCTTTAATACATAATGTTCCTATATCAAATTTAACAGAAGCATTTAAAAAAATTTAAAACCCTTAACAATAATAGTTAATTCACAACCTAAAAAGGCAAAGCTAACTAGATTTCCCAGCAGTGAAAAGGTCTAGGAGTTACTGGTTTGCATTCTAGAACAGACAATAAAATGTGAAAGGAGAGGGGAGGGGAAGCCACAAAGGAAGCTGACGTTTATTTCTGCATCGGCCTCACCCTTCTAACCACAAGAAGTCCCATGAAACCTTGCCTCAGTGGGGGAGGGGTGGAAAAAACTTACCCAACACTTAAAAAACAGGAACAGGGCAGTTTTTTGAGAATAGTCAAAAATGAACTGTTAACTTTTACATGTTTTCTCTTAGTTTGCTAAAGGAAAATAAATTCTAACATCTTAACTAACTTAATTAACTAACACCTTAAAATTAATAAAAAACAATTGATTTAGAAAGATAACTTTGTAGTTCACCATACACTAGAATTATATGTTTATATGCTTCAAAAGGTACAAGCCTCAGGAGAAACATAATTATGATGCTAATTTCCATTTCGCAAAAGTATAGGATATTAAAATTGGTAACAATATTGAAAGAACTTAAAGCAAGTTCTTGGTAGATGAAAGGTCATGATTTCCAATTTACCAAGGTTTACTAATTAGATATATCAATATTTACCATGCGACTCATTAGCCCTTATCAATTAAAAGAAAAATGTTAGGTCTCCCTCATGAAGATAGAAGATGGGATACTAGCAATTTGAATTTGTTTTAATTAGATTCTATCACGAGCTTTTGCTCTAAAAGGTTAAAACTATACCCGATTCAAGTTTACAATTATTATTTATGATGACACCTCATTTATAAAACAATTTAGAATTATTAATATTGTCTTCCTCAAAATTTAAGTTCTCCAAAATCTTCCAAGAAAAAAATATTTTATAGACTTTCTCCCATATTCCTTATTGTGCAAAAGTAATTTAATAAATGTACATTTACCCATCAAAATAGTAACTTAGAAAAACAGAAAAGAATGCCCTTATTCAAGGCTTTGCATATTCAATTACCTGCTCAAAACAGTTTCCAAACATTTTTGCAACAGAAGGAAACCTGGAGATATCTAGTCCACCCTCTCATCTTAAAGAAAAGGAAATCACACAACTGAGTAGATTACACAACTTTAGATCCAGAGCAAAGACAAGTCAACTGCTTTTGAGCCTAGTCTGATGCCATATGACACATATTTGACATGGCTGTTGGAAAAAAAAGAAAACTCCTAATGGAATCTTAGGCTACCTCAATAAAGCTTTGTTGTATTGTAGATGGTAAGATGTGGACACTACTGTGTCCAGTCTAGGCCTCCTCATTTTAAGACTGATAATGAAAAATACAAAGTGGTCCGGAAGAGGGTAACTGGGTCAAGGAAGGCATTCTGAAAATCAGGTCATATAGTGAGCATTTAAGGAAAATGGCAATGTTGAGCCATACTCAAATCTCTGGAGGATTTTCACATGCACATTACATGCAGCTACAAAAAGAGAACCATGTCTTCTGCGTAAATGTTAGCAGAGTAGAAAACAGAACCTTCTGCGCCTAAGAGGCGCCCAGAAAATGGAACAGACACATTCTGAGGTAGTGAGTTCCCCAACTCTGAAGCATTCAAATTGAGGCTGGATAAACAGCTTGTCAGGAAAATTAGAGGAAAGACTGCTGCACTGCTTAAAAAATTGTATTAGAAGACCACTGACCACCGAAGTCCTTCTAGTGCAAAGATTCTATGACTACCAATGTGAAATACAGGCAACAAAAAGAAAACTTACTCTTCCCTATTATAATGCAAAGACAAATAAAATTATAGATTTAGAACTAAACAATTTCTTTAAAACATTCTGAAAGGTTTTTTAAATTATATCTTTTAATACACCATTAAAACACCCAAATATTTTGCACATAAAATTAAATAAATAAATATTGCAGGAATTATGAAATATGCTTTCACATTTAGTTCTTAGTCTGATGAGGTAGACATTACCATCCCTATTTTGCAAAAGGTCACATGATGTCGCATCCAACATCTGACAAGTGAAAAGGCCAGGACCTGCCTTTATCCTTAACATAAAGGACCACCTGGAACAGAATTACTTGTCAAGGTTCAGTCAACTTTGTTCTCACATTGAGATTGTCCAAGATAAAACCAATCATACTGTTTTACCAAACATCTGTCAATATAAACCTGGACTTGGTAAACCATGTTAACATAAGCCAAAACATTTGCCTCCAGAACTAAAATCAAACTGAAGATAGAAACTGACTGCCATCTTCCAACCTTTTGTTAAGTGTCTTTAAAGCTCAAAAGATGTTGAATACACAACTTAAATAACTTGGCATATCTTTGATCGCCTGCATATATATTAAAACAGTAGTATTAAATGGTCTCATGATATCAAGTCACTCCTTGGCCTTCAGGAATTTACACCGTGGTTAAGCCAGAACACGTAAGTATTAGTGTAAGTACAGGTTTTACTTATAGAACATGCATTCTTTGTCATATAGAATTATTCTATCAAATATGAGTTAACTCTCTTTAATTCAGGAAAGAAGAGGAGGAGAATGTCCCTATTTATTTTTTTAGCCCAGCACAATAGCCTAGGAATTTTTAAAATTTTTTATTTAACAAAAACTTATATAGCACTCTACTGAATACTTTACAAATGTTAACTCATTTAATCCTCACATCAACCATATAAGATAGATATAATTATCCTAATCCCCCCTTCTCCGATGAGGAAACTCAGCACTGAGAGGTACAGCAATTTAACTGAGGTCACACAGCTGGGAAATGGTGGAGCCCGGGTTTGGACTTGGCAGACCACTCTGCTCAGCTGCCTCTTCCCATGCACAGCCTCAGCCAAGAACCCTGACCTCTATCAGAGGCTCTGAAACTGCGGGGGGGTGTTATCATACAAGCTCACCAAGCCTCCACAGACTTGATTTCCAAGTCAGTTAAGACTGGACCGTGTATAATAAGAGCAGAGACAATGACTTTTCTTTCTCATCATTGTTAACAATCAAGTGAGTTTTATAGAACTATAGACACAGAAATCCAAAATGTGAATTTAAACAGCATACACATTATAAAGTTTCCTTACCTTCCTAGCTCTTTAGATGTGAGTGTATAAAAATTACTAAAGTTTTCCATTTTCATTGGTGTTTGAGGTGCTGTAGTTAGCAAGCCTGAAATACTCCGGCAATCAAACCTTCTCCGCGACATGGCAGATGGCTCCCGACACGCTCCTCCAGTCACTTATTTTCACCTACTGAAAAAGAGAGCAGATACAGGATATAACTTACACGCAATTAAGAAAAAAAAGATGTTATCTTGGACAGGATGTGCTTTACATTATATGGCTCCAAATATAGCTATAAAACACACACACACACCCTCCCCAAAAAAAGGAAGAAAAAGATTTAAAGAGCATGTTTTACCCAGAAGGAAGGAAAACAAAAAGCACACATATAAACTGGTATCACCTCTATGGCACTTGCAGCAGGTTACTGACTTCATTTCAGAATAAAACTACTGTAAAAATTCTGTAAGACCTCCCAAATTCTTAAAAAATAGTTAGAATAAAATTTTAATACAAGTAATGACTCAATTTCATTTTTAAACTCTCTTTAAAATTATATCTTCACATAAAAAGATAATTTAACATAGCAAGGTAATGATTATTCATTTTAAATTTAATTTCACATGGCCTAACAAATTTGGTGGTGAATTCAAATCTTGTGAGTTATATTACTGACATGTGAATGACTATAAGAAATAGAATTTGTTTTACAGACTGTCTACATTTCAATAATAAATTGAGAAACTTTCATAGGTCTTAGAACTTCTTTCTTTTGGCAGAACCTAGCACAGAGCCTGCCATGTATGAAGAGCTCTATAATTTGGCTGGATGAGTGATTAACCATACGTAAAGTCTTATTCTGGAGTTCTAATCTATATCTGAAGCGCCTATGTGCATCGATCTGGAACTCTGTCATATTTACATGTATTCAGTTTTAACCTCAAAACTACTATTTCATATTAACTGAATTCATATAATAATAGCAGACTACATATTACAAAGTACTTCGGACTTTCTGCTATGCATATCTAATAAAGATCCAGTATTATTCTTCCAGCACCCTCTTACAATAATCCCCAAGACTTTCGTTCCTTCTCTGCCACATTTTTCCTCCACTTATTTCCTGCTCGATACGTACTTATCATGCTTTATCTTCCCAAGTTCAAAAGTCAACTATATACAACTTAGCAATAAGCAGTGTGATTAGAGTTCCATGTTCTCAGTTTCCATATTTTCTCAGTTTTATTCTTAAGATGGCAAAATTTTTTTCGCTAAATCCCTTGGTCTTTGGGGAAACAAAGCGCTAACTAGCTTTGGGATACATCTCTAGTTGTCTAAGAGGAGCAGCGCAGCATTCTGAAAATAACCTTTGGACTGAAGCACATCAGGTCTGAACCCCATTTATCCATCACACCAGCTATGAGATCTTAACCAAATTATTTAACTTTGCTACTGTTATGGGCTAAACTGTGCCCCTACCTCAAAATTCGTATGTTGAAGTCCTAACCCTCAGTACCTCAGAAAGTGACCGTATTTGGAGATAGGGCCTTTAAAGAGATAATTAAGCTAAAAATGAGGTCATTAGGGTGGGCCCTAATCCAACAGGACTGGTGTCCTCATAGAAAGAGGAGATCAGGACACAGACACACAGAGAGAAGACCACGTGAAGACAAAAGGACAAGGTGGCCATCTACGAGCCACAGAGAAAGTCCTCGGAGAAACCGACCTGCCCACACCTTGATCTCAACTTCTCCTCCCCAGAACTCTGAGAAAATAAATTTCTGTTGTTTCGGTCACAAACCTGCAGCACTTTGCTATGGCGGCCCAGCAAACTAACACAGCTACTTAAAACAGAAAGAAACATTCAGACGCATAGGAAGGGGTACAAACACCACGACAAACACCTGCTTTTTCAATCTTATTACTTTGCCATATTTCGTTTAAATTAAAAATAAATAAGACCTCTCAGACACAGCCGAAGTCGGTCCCTTCTTTCCATCCCCAGTTTACATTCTCACCAGCCCTGGCTGGGAGGGCTTATCATTTTCTTGCCAACATCTGCCCCATTCAGACTTTTAATTTTGGCTATTCTAGTGTGACAAAGGTGAAACGGAATTTTGTGATGTACTTTGCATTTCGCTGATGACTAGTGAGGAAAGCTTCCATTCTGCTGCCTCTAAATTACGGATCATGATAGAATCTAATTGCAGATGTCTAAAAATTAAAAGTTAAAATATGATGAATTCATTAGAATGACACTGGTAAAGTGCAATCGTGAGAGTACACCATGATTGTTCAATAAATAAATACTGTTAATATTCTACCCAAACATACTCTCTACGCAGTACCCTGCCATTGTTGAGTAGCTGTACCCTGTTTCCATATACAAAACTCTCACCCTAAGTTAGCTTAAACTCAACTCTTAAACTTCTCTATTATTCATTGTTTTGATGAGCTATTTGTATACCTTCTTAGTTCTGATGGCACTCAGTTTCATTGGTCACTTACTCCTCTCTGAAAAATTAATCCAGTTACCAATTTCTACACTCAATCTATTTTTTTTTTCAGGTCATCTTTGGGATTTTACTAATTTTTTTTCTAAATTTAAAAGTATATGACTATGCATGTTTATGATCACATTTATGCTATACACATATATACAGAAAGAAGGGATATACCTGTATCTTGGATACAGATTGGGCTACATTCCCAACACTGTTCATCAATCAGGCCTTGGGAAACATAAGAACAAGAACGTGTCAAATTCAATCACAGAGACAGAGTATAGGTTCTTGAGTCTAAAATGTTCACCTCATCTAGATTCTAGAATCTAATAAGATGTTTATCTCACGCTGTAATATATCAGCAACAAAGTGATCTATTCATAAGAACTCCAAAGATTTAAAATATACTTTATGAATAAGCATTTTCTGCTCTCAAGTTTCAAAAGAGTCAATACGGTTCTTAGATGTAGTCGATTTATGTTCAATGAAGCATGATTTACAACAGTGAAAAAAAATCAAAAACTTGTTGAATGAATGAACGCCAAAGTCCAACAATAGGGAAACAGGTAAATACATCTAAATAATAAGATACTATATACTCAAAAATTGTGCTTTCAAAGACTATTTTTAACTCATATAATATTTGTGAAAAGAGGAAGACTCAAAACTTTATGTACAGTATTATAATTTTGTGGGAAAAATATGAAAGCAAATAGAAGATAAGATCGGAAAACTATGGCCAATATATTACCAGTGGTTATCTCTGGATAGTGGGATTATGGCAGTATTTATACTTTCCTGTGTTTAAGTATCTATACTAAGCAGGTACTAATTTAATAATCGACAAAAATTAATAAATACCTTTGGGCAAAAAAGATGGCTGTGAATATGGATGACTAGACTCTAAATGCAGAAACTTACCATATGCAACAGCAAAATGTCTCTCTCTACACATTAAGGGTTTACTTGGCTGGAAATTCAAGAGCCATTATTGTTCGGGTTTTTTAAGGCCTCAAACGTTTCCTCTGCACTCATATAGAGCGGATGGTGTTCACTATCCAAATAACACGCCAGTTCTTATGCAGAGACCATAGAAGCATTTAGGGCAAATACTAAACAAAAATTAATGCCTTGTTTAATACTGCACTGAAAAAACAATTTCACAAATTCTGAATTAATGTTATAGTTATAATTCTATATGATGAATAACAGTTTGTAACCTTAAGACATATGCCTTTATTATAAGTATCACTTGTGAAAAGCCAGACTCATCCTGGGACTCCTCCAAAAAAAATCCAAAATGTGATATCCAAATATACTGATAAATATTACGTTTTTTTTTTTTTTTATTCATTTTTTCCCCCCAAAGCCCCAGTAGATAGTTGTATGTCATAGGTTCACATCCTTCTAGTTGCTGTACGTGGGACTCGGCCTCGGGTTGGTCGGAGAAGTGGTGCCTTGGGGCGCGCCCGGGATCCAAACCCGGGCCGCCAGCATCAGAGCGCGCGCACTTAACCGCTAAGCCACGGAGCCGGCCCCTGATAAATATTACGTTTTTTAATACATATTATTTAGTTATATTAGAAGGAAAAGAGCTTAGCTTTAAAAAAAAAGGATTGAAATGGATAATGATGATATAAATAGGGACTTACTAATCAAGCTACTTAACAGTATTTCCTAATACTGGACATTGACTTGTGTTTAATTTTTTACCCTAATAAATTTTCCTCCCCTCACATGTACTGTTGGTCATCATAATGGATGAATGTACCACAGGTACCTGGATGACTATAAATGTACCTGAAAACAGCGCTGGGCAATCAGCAGTTTTTTAAATACATGTGAATACAAAAAGCATCTTTCGAATTGTGATACATTTCGCTCTGGCTGTGAATATGCTGGAACACAAACCATGTCTCAGAAAAGAGAAAGAGCACATTTCTGAAGACTGAACCTTAAACTTATCTACTTATTGCTAATATACCTGTATTACAAACTGCTTTAGGTATCCATAAAGCATCCCTTAAGTGTCTTTCTCTTCTGTTTACTGCACTTGAATCAATCGTCACAGCCTAGGTATTTTTCCATTTCCTCTCCTTTGGCCAATTCTGCACATAGTGCAGCACAAATGTCACTGTCCACCAAACCCTCCACAAACCTCTAGCTGGCTGCCCTTCACATAAGATTTAATCCTTGGGCACATAAAGATTATCAGTCAGCTCTCTGTCTCTCCTTGTATCTTCCTACGTTTCCCACCAAATTCTCTCTTAACTCCAACAAACAATCCCAGACCTGTTCTTGTTTTCTATCACAATTCACAGACCTACAACTGATTCTAAATCACCAGTATGTCTCACTCCATTTGAAATTCATTTCATAACACTTTATTAGGCTAGGCCAATAAAAAAAAATCTTAAGAGACCTAGTAGGTGAAGGTGTGTGGCATGTGTGTGTAGGTACACAATTATAGACACAATCAGGCACTAGAAACAGTAAGAGGGTAACAGAAGGCAGGGTACATCCAGTACTACTAGAAGTAACGGCATCTCAAATGTATTTTCAGAGATTTTCTGCATTAACTCCCATTACGATAATTACAAGAAGAATTCAGATATGGATCAGCAAAGCAGGAACAGAAGGAAACATTAGGCTCGATTTGGGCCTTAATGGACGTGAAGGGAGAAAGCAAATGTGATGTAATCAAAAGTAAGACAAATGAACAGTCCCTATAAACCTCTAAATAGCTCTATTCTAAAAATACTCATCATAACATTCATTTCAAAGTTATCAAATAAAAATGTTTTATAAAAATAGAATATAACATATACAATAAATGAAAACATCTAGAGAATTAAGTTGTCTGCTCCGATCCACACAAGCTAAAGTCCTTATAGCACGACACACAAAAGCCCTGGGGGCCGGTACACACCAGCTTCATTTCCTGCCACCCTCATATCTCATATTTTGCCTCATATCTGTTATACTTCTCTGACTGCAACATCCTTTCTACCTTTCCTTAAATGGCTAACTCTTCTTATGCATTCTTCACATCTCAACACAGAATGTCATCTCCCCGAGGAAGCTTTACCTAAAACCCACAGGTTGGGTTAAATGCCTCTCCTTTATGCTTCAAATAGGAGGACCCTTGACATACCTCTTTACCTCAACATGTAACACGGACTGCAATTATGTCTAGTGTCTAAAGGGCAGCAACCATTTACTTTTGCGCCTAAACTCCCAACATCGTGTCTGGCATCTGGTAGGAATTTAAAAAAATGTTTAATGAACTGCATAAGAATTACGAAGTAGAGCAAGAAGAATTTTTAGGTACATCTCATATCTTCAAGGGTTTATCAGAACTTGAGCTCCACCTTGAAATTATAGTATTAGAGCTTCAAATGCAGCCAGTCTCTGCTTAATTCAGTACCTGGCTAAATAAAATAAGAAATATTTTAAATTGCTATTAGAGAATTTCAATTCTAAACAGGATAGTCACAAAGTCTGGAAACATGGAAAAAATTATTTTATCAGATATTGTAATACCAACAGACCATTTATTTTGTATTTACCTGTGCTTCCAGACTAGGTGGCTACCTGTTTTTATGTAAATTCCTACTTTAGCTAAGAACATCAATATTTTAAGAGCTAGCTCAATCAGGAAATTCAGACACTTGTCCTGTCAAGAACTGATAAATCTAGGTCTTCATGAAGTAAATTTGAAACATAATGCAAAGTTAAGACACAAGATTACAGGAAACAACACCTTTCTACATAGCCATTTATAGCTACCAAATTTTCCCTAGGAAACAGAGGAATTAGAGATTTATTTACCTAGCATCCATCAAAATAAAGGAAGAACTTTCTGCTAGCATGGCAGAAATCCATTTTAAGTTAGTCATTGATTTGAAGTAAAAGTATTGGTGTAGACAGGGATGATGATGATTTTCAATGTTAAAGAAGACTGCATTTCTTATATGTATTTTACTAATAAGTTTGTTTTGTTTTGTTTTAAAGATAGAATAGAAAGTATAATTCAGGAATGTAATCCTTTGAAAATCACAAAAGGAAGCCAGCTAACTGCCTCTAGTCCAACCAGCCTAGCATACATACTAGTATATACCATCCAAGGGCTGAAGTCCCAGGTAACCACCCTAGGCCTGATTCTGTGCCACGATAGTAAGGCATGGTGCCGTCACTTCTACCTTCAGAAGGAGAATTAAACCCTGTAACTGTGAATCAGGATATGAAGATGCTGAAAAACGGAAATATAGTGGGCCAACAAACACACAGTGCTTGTCATTCATCAGATGGAAAATTAAGTACCTGTTGTAAAATACAGTACTATTTACTTATAGCATCGCCGAAGTACTCTTTATTCAGTAACTGTTACAATGCAAAACGGAATATGATCCTTTAAGGATTCAAGATGAAACTACCACCTCACTGTTAACATTAAAATTCTTACATGCTTAAAGTATAACTACGCCCTCTTTTGGGGAAGAAGTTGCAAAAGGTTGGGGGCGCATCAAAATATGTCGCATATAAATATTAAAAGAAACTGGCTAGTTTAAATGTTTATAGTGCCATTGAAGTTCAAGGTGAATTTGGGAAAAAAAGGATAAATAAATCAAAGAAATAAAAAATAATTTACCAAAGTATGTCTTGAAAATTGCAACATTTATCACAACATATTTAGATAAAAATGTGTTTGTAACTTAATTTTATAAGTAATTAACTGAAATATTCAAAGAAATATCCTTTGATAACAGTCTATCATACAATATAAACTACATAAAAATAAAATCATTGAGGGGCCGGCCCAGTGGCGCAGCAGTTGAGTCTGCCCGCTCTGCTTTGCGACCTGGGGTTGGCAGGTTAGGATGCAGGGCACGCACAGACGCACCGCTTGTCAAGCCACGCTGTGGCGGCGTCCCATATAAAGTAGAGGAAGATGGGCACGGATGTTAGCCCAGGGCCGGTCTTCCTCAGCAAAAAGAGGACGATTGGCAACATGTGTAGCTCAGGGCTGATCTTCCTCACCAAAAAAATAAATAAATAAATAAATAAAATAAAATCACTGAATTTTGTCATCAGTATTGGGGAAAACGAAAGCAACTAAAACATTTAAAGTTTTCCCAAGTGGAAAGGAAGTACATAAATGACTGTTAATGTTTCTCACACAATCAATACCTGCAGAATGCAAAAGAATTCTTTAAAAAAACAAGAACCAATAAAAATCCTTTAAAAGCAGTAAATCTAGGAGCACTGTTCTTCTTAGCTGCCAACTTTATATACAGGAAGTATCCACTACGATACAACACACATGCAATTTTAAGGCAATTTTAGGATTAAGTGGAAGTGTTACCAATTGATTTCCTTGATTCCTGGGTTTTAAATTGGGTCTCTGAGATTAAACTAGGGAAATTTTGATAAGGAAATTCTCTCTTATAATTATTAAACAGCTTCAAAACAAAGTTTTAAAAAAATGTTTAAATGTTTACCTAACACCAGGAAAACACTGTCAGTGCATGCTTAAAAATAAAGTTGTCTGATTAGAAACATGCCATAAAATGCCTGTATCTTCTTCAGATTTGTTATTAATGTGCTGACACAGTGATCAATTAGTCAAGTCTTCACGTTCCTAAAATTCTATCTTAACCAAACTCTAACTCACTATTCAGTGAGCCTAAGAGAAACTGCAAGCATTCTGTCTACACACACACAAAAAAAGCCTTCAAATTATACACAAATTTTACTTTGAAAACTTAAATATATTGCCATGTAAACATATTTCACTTCAATTTTAGATCTGTAATTTAGAAAAATAATCTAAAGCGTATGACATGTATCTCAAAAATAAAGCAGCTATTAATAACAACTTCCATTATTAAAATACTAGAAAAATTTTTAAAAAGTGAACATCAGCTCAGAGGAGGATGAAGGGGGAAGAAGAGAGTCCTTAAACTAGAGCATTGCTCCTATGGACCAACTTCTTCAAAAATACACAATTCTATGGGTATGTGACTTAATATTTACAACACAAACACCTTAGAAGTTGAAAACTATTTCTGGACAGTTCACTGTCAAACTATAAAATGGTGTATCAATGAGAAAGCAGGTTTATCATCTTTTCCTTTTAATAAAATCGTGCTCCTGGGCTCAAACTGCCAGGTTACATATGGTGCCACTTGCCCGGTCGTCTCTGTAGACCACGCTCTCAGCGCACACATTCCCAGACTTGAGGACTTAAAAGGGCCACACCACGTCAAACATCACTGCGGAGCCCAGCCTATCATTGGTACCACACACGCAAACATTACGTCGGCAAAACAATCAGTGAATGTGATACACACGCTAATATTATTGAAATTTGATCAGTATGTGGTTGGATTTTTAAAATGTACTTTTTTTCCCTTAACTTCAATTTGCAAATTGCTGTCGGAACGCCTTTAGTCCCATCACAGACAGAGGAAGAACTACTATCAGCTACCAGCTGTCATGAAGTCTCTTTCAGTTTTGTCTCTACTTATCGCTCTAAGGGAATTCAAACGAAGCGCTATTCCCTACAATAAAACAAAAAGCTGGGTAAAGGTCAAAATCATAGTCATCATGTACTGGAGGTGTGGAGTTTGAGGATGCGTCGTGTACACTTAAGTGGTTTACGCGGCGTCAAAACAAAACCAGATCGCCGAAAATCACTGAAACAACTGCAACTCGTCTTCTCTGCTCACTGACTTTACAGAACTGTACACAAGCAGTAACCGAAAATGCCCCACAAGACGAGCACACACTTGCCACGAAAGGCAGTGTGGGCAGGACGCGTCCCCGAGTCCAGATGTGAACACGTCCTGTGCCCACCCCACAGCTGTGAACTGGGGAGCGGCACGAAGGACCACGTCGACGCGACGTGGAAGGGACGCGAGGGAGCGGGTCGCGAGCCGGGTAGAGCCCGGGCCGGCCAGGCGACGACGCACGGACACACAGACACGGACACACTCAGACACGCTCTCCGGGCGGAGAAGGGTGTCGGGAGGACCACCCGCCGCCCCCAGTGCCGCACCCCAGGGAACCCGGGGAGCAGGACTCCAGCCGGAATGCGGCGAGGGGTCCGGAGCAGTCGGGCCACCCGAAGGGCGGCAGAGCCCGAGCCCACCTCCGCCAGGCCGGGGGTCCGAGGGGACCCCGGATCCGCCCACACCGCCTGATCCCTCCTCGGGAGCCCTCCCACATTCCGGGGTCTCTGTTCAGGGGTTCGGAGCCGCAGCCCCGAGCCCACCCGCCAGCCCCGGCAGCCCGCGGACGCGCGAGGCGGAAGACACTGACCGCTCGGGCCGCAGCAGGTTCTCCCGGGGCTGCCCCTCCAGGGGGGCTCCCGTCCCGCCCCACGCCGCTGGCCGCCGCAGGACGCGTTCTCCAGCTCCAGCCCGGGGAGGCGCCGGGCAGCTCCGGGCGTGGCAGGACCCACTTTTACTCTTCCGGACAACGGCCAACAGCGGTGACCTGGCCCCCCGGGAGGTGGCTGCCGGCGACGGCTGCGGAGACGGCGACCGGCGCTTACAGTTGAGGTTTGAAAACTGCAGCCGCGTTGCGGGGCAGGGCTGTGAGCTGGAGCCCGCCCCTCGGCCGGGAGAGCCAATCGGAGCGCGCGCGGAGGGCGGGGCTGTCACGTGGCGGGCGGGGCGGGGCGCCGGCCGGCGGCGCGTGCTGCGGGGCGGGGCCCCAGCGGTGAGACGGTGTGGCCGCGCCGGCCGGCAGGGGGCCGGGGGCTGGGCGGAGCTGCGGAGCAGGTGTGGCGCTGGGGCAACTGCGGCGAGGGCGGGGTGAGGCGGCCGCGCAGGGCTGTGCGTGACCGGGTGCGCCACTGCCCCCTCAGAGTGCTCAGTCCATGTGCAGGTGTGAATATCTGCAGACTGGGGAGAGGGAAGAAGTAAAGTTAGCCCCAACTGCTTCTGACTCATTCCCAAACTTCTGTGCCTACCCAAATCCTGTTTTCTGACTCTTCCGGGTCATCTTCCCAATGACCTGAACCCACCCCGCTAGTGGAGAGCCCAGTTTGCTACAACCTGGCAGCTGTCAACGTCGCCTGGGGATTTGTGGAGCCTGGGCTCACCGCTAAAGTCCGCTCCAAAGAATTCAGTCCTGAGGCAGGTCCCAAGAAGAATCCCAATAGGATGAATTGCCGCTTCTGCAAATAGAGGGCTAAGGGAAAAGATGAGAGCCCCCAGCAAACTACTCAGGATCTGTTATCTCTTGAAGAGAATGAAAAAGTTGAAAGTTCTGTGCAAGACACAACTGAGTTTTTATTTTGTTTTATGTAACCTAGGATTGGTTGCAGAGTATATTTACAGTAATTGTAGAAGACTATTGGAAAATATATTGGAAGGGGACGCATTCTCTTTCAAAAGGTTTTAATACTAAGTCAGCATCTAAAGAGGAGGTTTTCTTGTTTTATTTCTCAGTAAGCCAAGCATTTTCTCATCAAGCCATCTGTTTGCTCTTCTGTACTGTGTTTTTCCCAAGATAAATGCATAAAATGCCTCACAGTCATTTAATAAAGTCTGCTTGTGGTTACTTAACTGCCTCATCCCAGTTTAATATGTCTATTCCTCAGCTTGTCACTGGGAAAATATTGCTTCCATCTATCTAGTCTCTTGTTAGTAACAATGGGACTAACTAGAGAAGTCTCAAGTAAGGATGGAAACAAATTTTAAAAAACCACACACTGAAATGGACTTTTCAGCTATGATTATTTAAGAGCCCACAAACCAGTGAGGCTGTGCCCATCTTTTCTATTATGAACTCCAGGGCAGCATCCCAGAGGTCTCAGCAGCAGCACTGGAACCAGTAACCTCCAGGGATCACAGGACTGCATCATGGCGGTGATTTTTGGTGTATGTGTGTGTGTGTTTAACCCTGGACTTCCTCAGTTCCAACATTTGACCAATCGCCAGCTCTTACCAATCTCCTCACACTCAGGCTGCCTTCCCCTCTGTCACTAACCCAGTCCCACATCACTTCACACCTACACGCAGGCCTTTCTCTCTCCATCACGGCTTTAAACCAACCCTCCCTGTGGTCACAAGCCCTTTCGTCTAAGCAGGCAGCCTGCTACGGGTCTTTTCATGTCTTGCATTTTCCTGCCTCTGCCCGGGCTCCAGCTTTGCACCATCCTCCTCATCAGCACCTGTTCATCAATTTCCAACTTTAAGAGAGTCACCCTCTCCAGAAATCAGAAATCTTTGCTGACTTCTACTTTCCACTCCCAGCCTGATCACCTCTTTGCCCTATGTTCCTAGGTGCAGGGCTCACTTATACTTGTTGCCTGTGTTTTTCTTATGCCCCTAAGTAGATTGTTAACTTCCGTGCCTAATGTCAGATTTGCCAGCTAGGATTTAGCACACTCTCCCAAGGACATTCGGCTACACTTGCTTGGTCTCAGGCACGTGGTTCAAGTAACAAGGAGCTCCTGGTGCTGAGGAGCGGACTGTACCATCTGTAGCCTTGCAGTAAAATTCAACATGTCCCTCCATCCTACCTCTTTTACCTAAAGTCATTCATAGCCATGTCAAAGGTGCGTGCTTTCGCTCTCATTCCCTTGACCTAATGGTCATTCTGTGATCATGGCCTCTGACCACAGAGTTCATTAAGGTGATCCTTGAATGCCACATACTGACCAGGGATGGTGGTTGTTATGGGCTGGTTGTGTCCCTGCCAAATTCTTATGTTGAATCCTCCCCCCCCCCCCAGCACCTCAGAATGTGACTGTATTTGGAGATAGGGCCTTTAAAGAGATCATTAAGGTAAAATGAGATTTTATAGGTGGGCCCTAAGCCAAGATGAAGAGATTATACCGTCAACAAAATAAAAAGGCAACCTACTGAATGGGAGAAAATATTTGCAAATCATATATCTGACAAGGGATTAACATTCAAAATACATAAAGAACTCGTACATTCAATAGCAAAAAAGCCCAAACAATCTAATTTAAAAATGGGCAGAAGATATTGAACAGACATTTTTCCAAAAAAGACATACAGATAGCCAACAGGCACATGAAAAGATGCTCAGCATCATTAATCATCAGGGAAATGCAGATCAAAACCTCAATGAGATATCACCTGTTAGAATGGCTGTTATCAAAAAAGTAAGATATGGGGCTGGCCCAGTGATGCAGTGGTTAAGTTCGCATACTCCACTTTGGCGGCTCAGGGTTCATGGGTTCAGATCTTGGGCCCAGAGCTATGCACCACTTATCAAGCCATGCTATGGCAGGTGTCCCACATATAAAGTGGATGAAGATGGGCACAGATCTTAGCCCAGGGCCAATCTCCCTTAGCAAAAAGAGGAGGATTGGCAGTGGACGTTAGCTCAGTGCTAATCTTCCTCACACACACACAAAAAAAGCAAGAAATAACAAGTGTTGGTGATGATATGGAGAAAAGAGAACCCTTGTGCACTGTTGGTGGGAAAGTAAACTGATGCAGCCATTATGGAAAACAGTATGGAGTTTCCTCAAAAAATTAAAAATAGAAATACTATATGATCCAGCAATTCCACTTCTGGATATTTATCCAAAGAAAATTAAAACTTTAACTCAACAAGATATATGCAGTTCATTGTTCATTGCAGTATTATATTTACAATAGCCAAGATATGGAAACAATCTAAGTGTCCATCGATGGATGAATGGACAAAGAAGATACAGTATACATAGACAGTGGAATATTATTCAGCCATAAAAAAAGAAATCTTGCCATTTGCAACAACATGAATGGACCTTGAGGGCATTCTGTTAAGTGTAATAATACCATATGATCTCACTTATACGTGGAATTAAAAACAATCAAAACAAAAAACCAAGTTCATAGATACAGAGAATAGATTGATGGTTGGCAGAGGTGGGGGTTGGGGGAGAAATGGGTGAAGGGGGTCAAAAGATACAAACTTCCAGTTATAAAATAAATAAGTCGTCAGGATATAACACACAGCATGTTGACTGTAGTTAATAATACTATCTTGCCTATTTGAAAGTTGCTAAGAGAGTAGATCTTAAAACTTCTCATCGTTAGAAAAAAAATATTTTTGTAACTCTGTAAAGTGAAAGATGTTAACTAGACTTATAAATAAGGTGGTGACCATTTCACAATGTATACAAATATCAAATCATTATGTTGTACACCTGAAACTAATATAATGTTATATTTCAATTATACTTCAATTGAAAAAATAATTTAAAAAAATAGACTACAAAACAGACAACACAGACTGAGGGACGACCATGTGAGGACATAGTGACAATGCTGTCGTCTGCAAGCCAAGGAGAGAGGCCTCAGAAGAAACTAAACCTGCTGACACCTTGATCTTGGACTTTCAGCCTCCTGAACTGTGAGAAAATAAATTTCTGTTGTTTAAGCCCCCCAGTCTGTGGTATTTGTTATGGTAGCCCTAGCAGACTCATACAGTGGTTGTCCTGGATAACTCTAAGTGAATCACCATATGTGACCAGGGATGGGGGTCCTTTCTGATCATGCCACGAGATTCACCTCATTCTGTCCAGGAAAAGTGCTCTCTGCAGTCACACCAGGTCAGTCACCACACGCTGACCACACACTGACCAGGGAAGGTGATCCTGATCTCACATTTACTCCCTACAGATGCAGAGGAGGGTGGAATTTTATACAGAGAAGAAGGCCTCAAATTTAAAACTCCTGCCATTGACACATGCTCCTTCTGAAGAAAGCCTTTCCAGTCATTTGTGTGTCAAGATCCTACAGTTCAATCCACGTGGAAAAAGCAAACGAAGCATTACTGCCTGTCTCCAACTGAGTAAGCCAGAAATTTGTGGCCAGGCTAAAGGCAGGCAGACACTAAAGGGGGGGCAACAGCCTCTGAAAGGGCTTGGCTCAAACCTCCACCCAACAGAAGGACTCATGTTGAACAGAGACAAGCTAGTCCAAATAGATCCCCTCTCTGGAGGTAGGAGTACTGGGTGTACTCAGATGGAAAAGTCACAGTGCATTTATCCATGGTGCCCACAGCACGTCCCAATTTGGGAAGCATTGGGGACCACAAGACCTTGCATCTCTTGACTCTTTTATAACAAACCTTGTTAGCAAAGGTAATTGGGGCAAGTTGTTCCTAATGAGAGCAATGACTCAGACTGGTATAGGTCTTCCTCGAACAGTGACACAATTCTTTTCTCTGAAGCACCCGTGATTAACTAGGATCTAGATTGCCCATCAAACCACCCATCACAGTTCATAGAATATAAACTTCCAGAACCGTCCAAAAGAAATGTCATGCAAACCACATACATCATTTTAAATGGTCTAGTAGTCACATTAAAAAAGCAAAAACAGATGAAATTCATTTTAAAAATATATTTTACTTAACCCAATATATCCAAAATATTGTCATTTCAACATGTAATCAACATAGAAAATTATTAATGAGATATTTTACATCCTTTTTTTCATATTGTCTTAAATCTAGTGTTTTTTTACATTTATGACACATCCCAATTCAGATGCTAAATTTTCAC